ACAAAGTTTGCAATAAAAAGTCTTTTGAGAGTAATACACTGTCCACTGAAATTCAAGAGCCCATCACAATTTACAGTGAATACTTGCTGTCTTTTCAGGTACACTGTACTATGGTGGTTTTTGCAATTTTTTTATTTCTTGTTGGTTTGGTTGTGTTTTTCTACTATTTGTTGAGTTGGGCCTCTTTGTTTCATAAATGAGGAATTTCTTGTAAGATGTTTCAGTACAAATAAAAAACATGGAGACTATACATGAATGAAATGAGTGTGAACAAGGAGTGCAGAGGCTGTGCTGTCTCTGCATTTGGCTTCTTGATGCTGTGTAAGAATGAGGGGCTACTATGATGCTACTGAAGTTTGTGGAGTTTAGATTGCAGAGTGGTGAGGTGCAACAGGGGTTAGACAGACGCTGAAATCCAGAAACAGAAACAGTTCTTGCATCTAGCAGGCAAAGACAGCCAGCAGTTAGTGCTGGAAAACAGGCATTCTTCAACATTAGAAAGGGTTTACATTTTAACAGGCAGCATAGTTAACAAGGAAGCTACCTAATATTTTCTATTGAGTTGTTAGATAAACTTAAATACTTTCACAAATATGCTTGGACTTGAGAGTATGAATTGCCTGTGGCCTGCATTGTACAGGTCAAAAAATGTCAGAGGACTCTTTAAAAGTGTTATCTGAAAAACATAACCTGAGCTAAGTTCAGAACAAAGCAGCTCTTTCAGAGGCACTCTGGCTGATCTTGTTTCTTGGGTAATATGATTTTTTATCAACTGGACTATTATTCCTGTCAGGTGGCATTTACTCCATCTCCTTCCTTTGTTTAGCAGCTTCACGATGGAGACCTTCAGTAATAGGGGTTTACTCACTGGAGAATTTGCCATCTAAGAATCAGCACTTGCACGCTGCCTCTTGCACTGCTCTGAAGTAGCACACAAGGCGTTTCTGCTTTTAATTTTGAAACAGTTTTCAGCAAAGGAATCCTGAAGGAATTAATTAGGGAAGACAAGTGCAGCATGTTTCCCTTTCAACGGCTTGCTCAATCAAATGGAATTACGAATATTATGAACCAGTACTTCGTTCCAACTAACTATTCACTTTGCTCACTTGAGCACCCAATGTTTGTACAGCTTTGCTTACCCCAGGACTTCTAACCCTTCCCAGAAATGCAGTTTTCTTGTTTGTGGCATAATCCCTGGAGCCTGGGTTCTGAATGGAGTTGTTGTTGACTGGTATGCTGCAAGCAAGAAGACAACTATAACTGATCTTTCCTCTTCAGTATACCAGATGGAAATCAATCCCATGAGAAGGTAGAGATCTTGAACTTGTTCAGACTGTGGAACAACTGGACAGTTTGACAGCTGCCTCTTTTTCCCCTGGTCAGCTCTATGGAGTAGACAGGAACCTGAGAAAGGTTCCTGTTAGCAGGGGGTGTGCAGTTCAGCTCAGAAGTTGGCAGCTCATGGGCCAGCAGTGTTGTCAGTGTGAGCTCAGCTCCTTTCTGGTCATTGGGGAGGAGATGCTGTTCAAGAGGAGCAGTGTTTAAGCGCAGCAAGCTCTGTGCAAATGCAGATTTGGTGGTGTTGCCTGCTACTTGGAGTCTCTGTGCCTGTAAATAAATTGTTATCAGAATCCTTGCTGTATAAGTTAGCAGATGGCAGCCTCCCCTTTTGCCATGAGGGACTGCCACCCTGTGTAGGACTTCTCTCCTTTTCTTTCCTTATAAAATAAGAGTAACAATTACCTCCAGAACAAGCATTAGTAGAAATAGCAGACAAGCAATTTTTACGAATATTTGCACAGCTCCTGCTGCAGCTATTTATGTAACTTGAGAAACTGGAGTTGTTTTCAGTAGCAGCAGGAGTCAGAGCAGGCCCTTTGTACCACCTCAGGGTCCTGTGGGATGCTGCAGAGGCTGCAGCAACAGCTGCTCCTCCCCCTTGGCATTTCTGTCTTGGAACAGAACACAAGTGCATCTGTTCTGGCAGGTCTGAGATGAAAATACATTTTTTCCTCCAACTTTATTCTATTCCTCTACAAAAACACCACTGAGGAGGGCAGTTGGAATTCTTGATATAAACAAGCAAATACAAATCCTCTTTAAAAAAAAAAAAAAAATCAGTGAACTGCTCAAGAATATGAAAGAGTTGGGAGCATGAAGCTTTGGTTGATGTGCATTGAGGGTGCTCTCAGCCACCATCAAGATTACTGCATTGTAAGGATGGGTAAGATTTCCTATTATGGATTCCAGATGCTGATGATAATAAACTCAATAGCAAAACCCGGGCCTTTAGGGCATATAGCTGAGATAGCTATTGTTGTTTCAGCTTATCTTTTGTATGTAATCTTACAGTAAAATATAGATGAGCTGTTCTGTTGAGGTAAGACAGGAACCACATACAGGTGTAGGAATACATGCTGGCTGTGCTTCCAGGCTAGGAAACTGCTCTGTGACACGCAGTGTTGGGGGTTCAGGTGTGAGGCTGAAATATTTCCAGGACAGGTGTTGTCCTTAGGGTAAAAGGAGGAATGAAACCCAAGGATGGCAGCTGTGCTAATCTAAGTTAGCTGAGCATAGCCCTGATGTTTTTAATTTGGTGAAGGTTATAAACTGTACCTGCAGTTATAAGGCCATATTACAGTTATAATGCTGATAAAGGATTAAATGTTAAATAAAATTATACCCCGTTGACTGTTAATACTGACGGCTGAGAATTTAAGAGATGACAGTTTTATTCCTGCTCTCTGCTGTTGGTCTTTACTGTCACTTTCTTATGGTTTATTTTTCTGCAGTACCACTTGCTTTGACACTCCTAGTTTGCTTGTGAAGTGAGATATGATTTAGCTATGGAATTCTGCAGGCTGTATACTGACAACATCTGTATTTAACTATCATATTTCCTGCAGATCACTGCTGCAAACCTTCTTGTGACTGGAGACATACGTAGTTTCACTAATAAAACCTCTCTAGGTGTTTGTAGCTCAGACAGACCAGCGAGGCTGAATTTGTGTGTTTGTTCTTTGCTTTTGCTGTGTTCCTGTGACACAAATAACCAACAGCTTTTCTTAGATAAAGCTGCAAAACTGCTCTTGTCCTGATGCGTATTTATTTAGCATCATGTTGAATGAATGACATCTGGCAGGGTTTTTACCCTCACAGCTGTTTGCCATCTGTTAGTAAGCCAAGGTGAATACGTTCTAAATGGCAGCTGCAGGCTGGGCTGCTGATTTCATTTCAGCAGTGCTTCCCTGTGAATGCCACAATATAAATAACTGGGTGCCAAGAGCACGGGCTAAAGAATTTTTAAAAAGCGGTATAAAATGTGAAACGCTTTAACAACCTGTTACATTCTGAATACAGACAGAGCTGCAGCTCTTATTGCTGTCCTGAAGTCTGTGGGTGTCAGCCTCAGCCTGGGCAGCCCATCAACTTGCATCACCCCACAGGGACATCCTGCCAAGCCAGCTGTGTATCAGCAATGCAGAGGGGACAGTTCTGAAGGAGCTGGTGATGGCTCTTTCAGTTGGAGCCTGCTGCCTGCCTGCCTGCCTGACAGAGTAAAAAGCATAATTTGCTAAGTAGTAACCCATTGTTTCCCATCAAAAAGAGGTCAGTTTTCTCTGGTATCAAGTTCTGGTCATGCTGCAGCTAGTTTGATGGACATATACTGTGAAGCAGAAGAACAGATGCGTACTCACAGAGTTCAAATTGCTGCACAAGTTACACACATAGCCATTCCTTTGCTCTTTCAGGTATAATACCTTTGCAGCTTTTTCTTGTTAGTTCTCTTTCTACCACAGAGCAGATCCTGTGTGGATATTCAGAAAGCACTGAGCACACCAAACTGAGTTTGTAATCTGGAAGCAAACCTGGGTCACGTTATGGAAGTGCATGGAGCGAGGTAGGGAGGTAAGAAGAATGCGGAAGGGGCATGAGAAGCATAAATATCCTTCTGGCTGGGGTCTAATGCTTCAGTGTTCTTATTGCAGGTAAGAGGAAGAAAGGAGTGGGGATGAAAGTGCAAATGGCACGTTCCAGAGATGAGAGAGGAAGAGAAAAATGGAGTATTAAAATGATGGAAGAGAAAACAGGAGCAACCACCACAAAGAGAAGCCGAGAGGCATATTTCAAAGGAAACTGGAAGCAGGAGAGTTGCAGTTAAGTTCAGTTGTGCACGAGTTCATCTGAAGGTCTGGCTGGGCTGGAGGGGAGGCACCAATAATGTTCCAATCTGTACCAACTTTTTGGCCTGTTCCCCCTTCAAGTCTCTGTACTGATAGCTTAGCAAGCTTCACATTTGAATTCTGGCCAAGTAAGCAGGAAGGACTGAGCCTAAAAAAGCAGCAGATCCTTCCGTCTGCCTCCTCTGCTTTCTTTTCCCCTAAATCTTTGTCACTCTCCCTGCAAACGTGATACCATTTCACCAGTAAAGCAAGACCAGTTCTCCAAGCAAGCCACAGACTTCTGGCACAGGGTGAGAGACATTCCGCCTTTCAGTAATATTATCTCACCTCTGAGTTTCTTGGGTTCTAATATGCTCTTATATAGGCTTTGCTCTTCCACTCTCTACCACCAGGTAGCTCTATTCTCTCTTCCTTAGGATGGAAGTGTCATGCTCTGTATAGCTGGCAGGGAAAATGGTGTCTCCAGAAGTAGTTTCAGTTACTCTCATATATCATCAAAGGAGGAATACGCTTATCATTTGGGGCAAAAAAAAGTTTCATATGAAATTGGAAGATTCAAAGGTAAGGGAAATGGAAGAAGGGGAGAGGGTACAGGCATTGCCTTTCTATGGTTTCTTTGACAGTCAGTCCAGATTGAGACACGGGTGAAAACTAAAAGGCCTCTCTCCCTTAATGTTTTTTTCTGAAAAAATGCTGGGTTCAGATATCCATCACAACCTGTAGATGGATAAAATGGAGAAAAGAGGGTCATAGCTGCACTGGGCTCATTGTTCTGTTGCTTACTGGGCAACACCAGCGGCAGATGACAACGTTTTGTGCTTTGGGACAAAGAATTTTATTGTGCATTTATTACAAGTTGATGGATCTCAAAGGTGATCCACTGTGCAAGGAGTTGTCTGAGGATGATCAGAAATGTGTAGGTCTCTGTATCCAAATGTAGGATTGCCATCAGATTACACCTGCTGTACAACAGATTTCAGCTGTGGAAGCTTTCATGTCAAGCATTAGTAATCCCGGTAGAGGTACAGGCTTAATGAATTCATAGCACCTGACTTGGCTGGGAAGTCTGCTGCTTAACCCACTCGTTGATCAGTTTGTGAGCAATGGCCTGTTTGGGAGGGAACCAGGGTAAAAAACTTCCATTGTCTTGCTTTGCAGATCTGGGTTCTCGCTTGAGACCCTCCATGATTTCTTCCAGGCCAAACCAGCGGGCTTCCTCCAGCTCCAGGCTGTTCACACTGATCTGGAAAGAATTAGGGGAGTACCAGTTTCCTTAAATCAGCTTCAAATGTGGGCAGCAGTCCCTCGTTCTTGCTCCTGCAAAGATCCCATGCTAGAATCCCTGGAGTGATTAATCCATGCTGGAATTAATTGTTGATGCCAGCACAGGAGAGGACATGACTGCCCACTGATGTTTCCTTAGCGAAGCCACAAGTCAGTCAGCCCTATTCCATTGTGGCATTGGCCTGCAAAGTACTAGTGTCTGATCACAGTAATTAACATAGCAGAAGCTGCATGTTCTACAGCAGATAATGTTCTGAATATTAGAAGGTAACTGCTCTGCAAAGTTAAGAGGGAAAAAATGCAGAAGCATGATCTGTGCTTGTACATTCAGTGACCTGTGTAAAATTTTGCATGTTACAACAGAAGCAATTGTTGTTTTCCAGTCTCTTTTTCACTTATAGGAAGCTAGCTGAAAAAGCATTTAGAGAGGAGCTGATGCTATCCAAGGTAAAGTCTGTGGACCGAAAGAGATTCTGCTATGTAAGGCTGGCATTGAAATGCCTTGGGGGAATGCGAGTCCACTCACCTCCAACTGCTGTCTCCTCACCAATGCATGACAAGCTATCATTAAGCAGCTGCTGGGGAAGGGCCAGTGCTGGGATGCTGAATACCAGAGTGACTCCACCTCCAGGCCCACCTCTTCTGCCACTTCTCGCCGGGCTGCTTCCTCCACAGCTTCACCTAGAAGCAACCATACTTGAGTAAGGGCAAGCTGGCATCAGGGCAGCAAACCATGGCAAGAAAAACGTAGGTACGCTCATTTCTGAGGTGTTCTAGCCCTGACTGTTCAAGCGTGAGCAGGAGCTCTGGCTGTGCTGACCTAGGAATGCTTATTCACTGAATTGAGCATCTTGCTGCCAGTGCTTGCTTCCCTTAACCAAAGCTATCAGAGACACTCTTGTTTCTTTTCTGTATGCAGAGCCAATGGACAGAATGTGGGGCTACCCTTCTTTGTTTCCCTTTTTTTGTTTCCCACTTTCCCTCCTGTAATGAGAGGTCTGTAGTTTTGTTGTTGTTTTTTTTTTTTGAGCCAGAGGGTATGAGATATAATACAGACTAAGAAGTATCTGGGTGTTACTGCTCTATTCTGGGAAGCCTTACACCTAAATTTACTATCGGGAACTACAGCAACTGATACGCATTCATAATTCACCCATTCTCTTCACATATGTACTATTTTGAACCCTATCTGAGTAATGATGCTGACCCAATCCTTGTTTTTGTGGTATCAACCATGCGTAGTTCATCTTTTGTGAGCAAGCCCTTGGTTGATGTCCCACAGCTCTGCACATCTGAGGGCACTGTGCTGGACGAGAGGCCGCCTCACCTGCTTCACAGTAGCCAGACAGAGCGGTGTACATCCCCTGAGGAAACGAAGCCTGTCGTGCAAGGAGGCAGCGGCTGCCATCAGACACCAAGATGATAACTACTGGAGACATCTAGAAAATGCACCCAAGAGCAAAGGAAGGAGTTCAGAGCAAACAAGTAAGTGAAAGTGGGGACTTTTCCTAGCTGGCTGGGAGCACTCTGTACTTAGCTGTGCTGCTCAGGTGCTTACCTGTGGGTAATAAGTTATTCCACTGGCATGGCACACGCGCTTGCTGCCAGCTACGTTTTTCTGAGTCGGCTGCCCGGTTTTGCTGCAGTACTGGTGGGAATCGTGCCAGCGGAGAAGGGCCTGGGCCTGTGAAGAAGGAAATACAGGTCTATGGACAGCCAGAGCCAGATGATTCAGAGCAGTCTCCCCAAGTGATGCTTTGCTGTTTCATGCCCGTAACAGCATGCTGGGGAGAAACTCTGATTACATTTGGAAGCCTCTATAATGCAAATAAAATATGGGCACTATTTTGATAAAGGGAGTCTTCTGCAATTGGTGTTCTGTGTTCATTGCTCTAGCATCCAAATTTCATCTTTTTAAGGGGAGGTGGAGGAAGAGTTGTTCCTTATTGGGATATAATGGGAGTACTAATGAGAACTGAACTATGCCAGGGAGACGCCAGCCCCAAATACCATTAGGGAAAAATAACCCAAGCATCATAAACATTACAGAGCAGGAAAAGAAACAATTATTTCTGCTTCTCTTATTGGACGCCTAATTTTCACACAAGTCTTTCCTTAGAGCTTCCAAACAGGGCATCTGGAGAGTAACAATTTGTAAGTGTGCAGATGTAACAGAGCAGCTCTGACAGAAGATCTGTAAGGCCATTCTTGGAATTCAGTTTGCCAAGAGAATAATAGAAAAGCCATGTGTGTTAATTGCCAAGGACAAACTGGGATTGCTGAAACTACCACTGCCACTGAGATCAGCATATTTCATGCTGGGCATGCAGCAGGTTGATGCTAAGTGGCAAATGACTGCAATCATTGTTAAGCCTCTTGTCTGCTTCTCTTCCCATTGCAGCTTGCTTTTGTGACAGCAAATCTGGGAGAAGAGCAGTAATTTATAGCATCCTTGTACCTAGTTGGCTAAAAACTGACAGTAGATACTTCCACAATACATATGAAGTCATAAAACAATGTGGGAGACAAATGTTAGGAATAATAACTTATTAAGGTTACAAATCCTGCACTGTACCGAGGCCAGCAAAGAAGAATCCTTCTCATCCACTACAAAGAAAGCCTTTCGTAAGTCAGTGAACGATCCCTTGAGCTCAGCCTCAACGACTGATCTTTCCAAGGCTCCTGCTTAAAAAAAAAAACAACAGATCTGTGATTTCATGAACTGCAGTTCTTATCCCAACTTTATACCCTTCACTGTTCCAGTATACGACCTCTGGAAGTTCCCATGGAAGTGACATCACTTCAGCGGTACGCATTTCCAAACGTTAAGTGACCTGCAAACAGCCCACCTTTACAAACACACCCAGAGGAACCACAGCGCAACTGAGCTACAGTTTGGTGGCTCAATCACTGCGCTCACAGCAGCTCCTACAGAGGATCGACTGATTCCTCTTGACAGTAAATAATCACTAGCGTGGAGAAGGGACGCTGCCTCAGCAGCATCTTCATCTCAGTGCATCGAATGTGATGCCAACACAGATGGAAGAGGAGTCATCCAACCTAAATCCAGGGCAAAGTGTGGTACGTGCTCATCTGAACAACCAATCAGCACCGACTTCTCTATCCACTGTTCAGTCTCTCTGAATTTCTCCAGGATCCTTTTCATTTCTAAAGAGCAGGAGAAAGGGGAAGGAAAAGCCGTAAGGAAAATTAATTTGTATGACTGTGAAGCTCTTTCTGCCTAGCCAACGTTTGTGCAATCTGGGTTCAAGGGGGGGTGCTCATGTAAGAGCAGTGGTGGAGACCAGACATACAGCTTTCCTTCCTAGATGTTGTATCTTTAGACCATGTCAAGCTAAAGATGCAAATGTTTTTATGCTTGAGTAACAGCTGTCCATTCCAATTCTCTCTTATGCCAGCTGATACCTTTCTCGCAGAACTTCTCCCTGCTTTGGTGGCAAAACTTGTTGTCTGTTATCCTACCAGCTCTTCAGAAGTTATGGTCCCAAATATTCAAGATTTATAATCTCAAAGTAGCTCAGGTATATTTTGATACCATATGCATGTGAGGAGCTCACATCAATGTGCCAAGGTTTTAACTCCAAATAGACTTTTTTGGTAACAAACAGCATGCCTTATATAACAGGATGATCTATGTGTGTTTTTTTTTTGTTTTTTTTTTTTAACCCATGTAAGGTGTTGCTTGTTGCAAATGATCCTGTATCTTTTGAGCTGCATGACCTGGGTGATGCCTTGTCTGGACACCTGCTTACCTGCTGCACTGAGCTGTGGTATCAAATATTTCTTCCCGACTTTCTGCAGGAAGGGTGAGAGATTGTGAAAGATGCAGAAAGTTCCCGAGGTCTGGGCTTGTCTACACAAGATGTCATCTTCCTTTAGCTTACTCAAGTATCTGCAGTAAGAAAAGAGTCAGAATGATGAATTTGAGATCACGTCAATATTACATGTGCTATGCTTATTTGGACACATTTATTTCAGGCAGAGCAAATCCAAGATATGTAACCCAAGTCTCGCAATCCAAGAGGGTTCTTTAAAAGATGTGGTTGTTTGTGTGCTTCTTCCAGACTGTCTGAAGTAGTATTTAAATGAGGTGAGCACTGTCACTTCAAAACTGCCTGAATTTATTTATTTATTTATTTATTTTTTTGAGAGCTTTAGTGAAAGCAGGCATTCATTTAGAGAGTTTCAGCCTGAGGCAACTAGCTCTTTTCCATAGTGAAGGGAGTGTAGAGATTTTGACCACTCCCATTTACAAAGCACATGCAAGACTCTTGCATCACTGCTGAACTGCTACAAGATGAAAGCTGGCATTAGATTTGGGTAGGGCTGTTTGTGACAGTGAATACAAGAGTGCCAAATCCTGGTCTCAGTGCAAATGAGTTAGATGAGAACTTACCTCATTTTTCTAATATAGGTGGAGTGTGACCTGCAGAAGAGAGCAGCTCTTCTATACGCTGCTCGATAAATTGCAGCCATGATCAGCACCTATGGGAAGCTGTTTCTGTCTGAAAAGAGAAGCACAGAACATAACGCAGCAGCCTTGAAAACATAAGTTTGATTTAAAAGGTGCAATAACCCAATGCTACATGCTTACAGAACCTACAGAACGTTGGCGTTTGCTTTCTAAAATAAGTGTGCACAGAAGGTCTTAAAGTGTTACAAGACGAGGTTAAATACTTCTCTCCGAACTCCGGTACCAGTGGGATAAAGAGCAGTGAGAGTGGCTGCTTTCTTGCTTGTTTCCTACGCAGTTGTAATGGCCTCCATCCAACTGAACATCCTATTGCAGCAAGCAGCAGATCTGTGGGAAAGGCACTGATGCCAGAAGGGAATGAAAGACAAAATATCGGTGGCAGAAGAGAATTCCCAGAGCTTGACGAGAGGCAGCAGTTGCAGCTGAACTGGATCATCTCCAGCTGAGAATGGCTTTTGTGCCAAAGGATCCTACTACATTGTCAGCTCAGGCAGTCACAGACTGCCGCCTGAACTCAGCTTCAGAAAACAGCTATCTCAGGCATTCATCTGAAACAAAAATGAGCTGTGATTCACAATCCTCAGCAATTATCTTGAGTATTTCACTTTCCAACCACAGATCTCAAAGCTCTCTAAGGAGGAAGTTGCATTTCCTTAATCCTACAGGCTGGGATGTGTAAGCTGCACCAAGGAAGAGGTGGTGAGTCCTTCCTCTGAGGAAGGCTGGTGACGGCTCCTGAGCCGGGTGGTGCCTGAGCAGAGGCCCCTCTCCTTGCAGGCAGGCAGCCTCTGCTCAGTGCTGTGGAGGTGTCACGGTGGCTCCTGACATCTCTGCCCACCCTGTGGGAGGTGGACTGAGATCAGCCACTCTGCATACGCATTGCCCACTTACTGCACTCGGAGCAGAAGGCGTGCTGTCTGCAGCAGCAGGAAACAGCTCTGGAAGGCCACCGTTGTCCTCAGCTGGAAGTACAGCTCCTCCAGCACGCAGAGCGAACAGCAGCTGTCTGACCACATTGAGTCGCTCTTCCCCCAGCAGGAGCTCTGGGAAATGTAGTTCGGAAACCCTTGGCTCAGTTGGGTGGCTGACAGGATCTGCTCCGGCTTTCCGTCAGCTCCTGCAGCTGTGGAGCTGCTCTCCCTGTGTGCCTCCTTCTGCCAGAATTCCATATACTGTAATTTGCCAAGCAGGAGCTATTATGGGAACAATGCTACTGCAGTAAGTTGAGCTATTCTGAAAGTATTAGCTCCCCTTTGTTTAGTTTCTTTTTATCTTTGCAAGTTTCTCTGTTTTCTGTGTCAGTAGCGTAAGGGCAGTGTTTGAAGTTAAGGACTGTGTGTTCCCAAAGAGGAAAATATGCCAACAACTGAATGCATCTGAAGAATGGAGCTGCCGAGTGTTCTAACACCCAGACCTGCAGCTGAGTTTGCAGTGGCTCCGATTGGAAAGTGCCCTTTGCCAGGACAGATGACAGAGTAACAACATGTTTTGTTTTATGCCTTCATAGCTGAATACATTTCTTTGGTACTGAAAATGTTACCCTGGGCTGGAACCTATCTGCCTATATTGAAGAGAAAGGGAATTTTATCAACATGTAAATGTTTTCAGCACCTTTAGCTGTTTGGTGTGATTTCCTAATTGAGAAGTTGTCATGTAACTAGAGAGCATTGCTTGTAGAACATAGTAAGTAGAGTAGGCAGGAAAAGAATAAGTAGAATACGTAGGGAAATGCCACTCTGGTATTTCTTTTCTCATTGCTTAAGTGTTTAGGTGTAATTGTTATTTGTGAGACTGCTCTGCTTCAGGAAACACAGTCTTATTAACCTACAATGCTAATTGGATTAATGGACAAAACATCTTCCCTTAATAAGATAGAGCACTGAAGTGTAATCTCCAGTGTAAACTCGCCCTGCAGTTAAAACAAGCCAGTAGATCTGCTGAGCTGAAAACAGTTGTGGTAGTAATCTTGCTAGTTCTTGCTCTTCTGTCTTGCCAGCTGTTCCCAACAAGGGGACATGAGCTGGGACTGCCATCAGCTGCTAACTGCTTCCAATGCATCCAGCTAGCAAGCTCATGCCGAAAATGTGTGGTTGCACCACAAGGAACCTCTTGCTAAAAAATGTTTCTTTCCTTGGAAAAGGCTGGGGTAAGACAAACCACTTCTTTAAACAGAAAGTTAATGAGTAGTCTTCCCGTCTGTCATTATGCTGTAGATACAAACTAATCTATAACTGATGAGGCTGCCCAGAGAGGCAGGTGGTGCCCCAGCCCTGCAGCTACTCAAGGTCAGGCTCGAGGGGGCTCCGAGATCCTCGTGGAGCAGTGGCTGACCCTGTTCATTGCAGGGGAGCTGGACCAGATGGCCTTTAAGGGATTGTTCCAACTGCAAGGATTCGATGAAGGCTTGGCTTCATTTTATCACGGCTTCATTTTGTCAGCAGCCTCATCTTCGGTACTGACGCTCCTAGTTAATAAACAGGTGGGTCACGTCAGCCTGAGGAAGTCCCGTTAAAAATTAAAAAGTTAAAGGTTAGGAAGCTAAAGCGGCACTCTGGTTTAAGGAGGAAGTTTGCCACATCTCCAAAGCTGCTGCTCTACCTCTGCCCACGTGTCCCGGCCTGAGGACTTTCAACCCGGAGGCCGGCGGACTGCTCCCCACTTCCTGCCGGCTGTAGGAGCTCTATTTCTGTTGGAAGTCGACCAAGGTGAGAGGAAGGGAGGCTTATTTCTGACGGATGGTTCAGCTGGAACCCGTCTCTCTTTCCGCTGCGGCACGGCACCGGCAGCGCGCGCCGTAGCCACACGGGGACCGTCGGCGACCGCGCTCTTCCCGGAGGAGATCGAGGCGGCCACGCGACGCGGACCCCCGGGCTGCGCCCCGCGCCCACGTGGAGCAGCGCCGGCGGCGGCGCCTGCGCACCAGGGCGGCCGCCGCTGTGACCGAGCTCACGTAGCGCGCCGGCCGCCGCCCGCGCCCCGCCCCCGCCGCGCGCGGCCCGGGAAGGCGTGGCCTGCGCGCCTATTAAAGCCGCGGCGGGCGGCACCGCGCGCGCGGAGCGTGACGGCGGCGGGCGGCTCGTGGGGCTCCGTCTGTGGCACGCGGCCCGCCCGCTCTCTCAGGTGAGGCCCGGCCGCGCCGCCTCTCTTACCGGGACGGGACGGGCTCCGCGGGGGGTGGGGGCGATACGTGGCAGGCGCCGCGCCGCCGGTTCCCGGCCCTGCCGGCCGTTACGTAACGGGGGGGCGGGAGCGCGGCGCCGGGCTGGGACCAGGCCCGCGCCGCTGCCGGGGCGCTGCGCCGGGCGGAGCCTCTCCGCGGGGCCGGGGCTGCGGGCGGCGAGGCTGAGAGGCGGCGCCGCTTGGCGATCTCTGCGCCGTGCCGAGCGGAGCCTCTGCGCTGTGCGCGGGGCGTGCGGGAACGCGTTGAAACGAGACCGAGTTTGTAGGAGGACTCTGTCGGGCGCGGAGATCGCCGATAAAGCCTGTGTCGGCGCGGTGTCTTCGCTGTCACTCGCTCTGCGTGTTTCTGGGCGCCTTCTTCCAGGATCGTCAGGCAGAGTTGCTGCTCCCCTTGAGAAGAAGGGGCTTTTTGCCTGCGCGGGTGCCCATTCAGCAGGAAGGAGCTCCCGCTGTTACTGCTTTCCAGCTGTTGATCGCTGGGATTTTCGTTGTGAGCGTTTTTAATTCCAAAAACATCTCTGCAGATATTGTGCTGAGGCGTGAATAGGAGGATAGCCTTCTGCTTGTTGTGTCTAATAAGATAAGCGCTCTGCTGCGTTGCCAGAGCTCTTTGTCTTGGCTTGGAAAGCTAAAACAAACGTGCTTTGAGAGGGCTGTCTCCGTTTAGTCCTGCTATGCCAGAAACCTACTGGAAACGTGCTTCCATCCCCGGGTTACACACTTGTGTGTGGACTTCCCTGCTCTGCAGGATTGAAACTTCAAGCACACTGCTGATGTTGGCTCTGGAATTCATTCTCATCTCTTACAGGCAAACAGCTTCTGTTGTGCAGGAGTTGGAAGACGAACTTAAGTTCATAGAGGTGTAGGATCTGCTGCTTTTGATTCTTTTCAAATAGAAGTAGGGACACACAGTGCTTTATGTGCACTGCAAGCCAGCAGAACAGGCAGAAATTTCAGGAGATCAGCGGAAGGCCTTTTGAAAGTGGCACTTGGTGCCTAAGAACTTTGGGAAAGTTCTTTCATTTTGGGTAAGGATTCCAGTCATGAGTCTCAAGCTGCAGCCCTGTTTGGAGAGGGAGCCTTGCTGCAGGGGGCAGCTGCCACTGCTTGTGCTGCTCTTCTCTGCCCTCAAACACTGCTCACTTTGACTCTCTTAGTTAAAGTAGATTGCTTGCTACCTTAATTTAAAAAAATGTTGTTTAGGGATTAAGTTAGAGCCGCTCCAAAATAATTCCACACTGAACTCAGTGCTCAGTTTCCGTTTCCTGTCAGCAGTTTCTTGCTTTCTGGATCCTGGTGGGCACCAGGGAGCTTAGGATGGATGGTGAGAACTGCTGTGTAATAGTATTGTTCGCCGAACGCTTTGGTCTTCAGCCACCATCTATCTTGATTTGGCTGCTCTGAGGCTTTTTCATCATGTACTTGGTCTTAGTTTTGCTTTTCCTTCTGCTTGCATGGGTGCTGTGTGCATATCCTCTCTGATACGACCCTGACAACTCTATAAAACTCATCAGAAAAACCCATCTTGGAGGTCCATCATTTGAAATGGCATTTGTTGCTTGTCCCTACTGTTAGGGGAGTTCCATATCACACTCGGCAGTATCGCTGCTCTGCTTTACTGGTATCTTCATGCTTGTTTGTTCCTTGCTTTATTTTCCCCAATCATTTTTTCCCCACTCTGTCATGTCTCGCAGTTTCGAAGCTAAGCAAACATACATCTTGCAGAAAGTTGGGGAACTCTCGTGTTGAAGCTGTCAGCCTCACTCCCACTGGAATCGTTTGCTCTGTATGTGGGCAGCAGGCTCCCTCCTCTCTGAGATGCTCATGTGCCATGTTGGTGTGTTCCAGAGCGACGCAGCTGCGGAGGAGAGCCAGACTGATGGCAGTAACAGAGCAATTTCATATCGGTTTACTGTATGTCTCTGACAGGAAGAAATTAAGCCTGCCTATTTGGCAGTTCATGCGTGTAAGGGATTTCCAGCACCTTTCCTAACTGAGCCTTGTTTTCTTTGATTTGGGAATGTGTAGTGATCCTCTAGGAGAAGTTTTGAAAGTCGTGCTACTTAGCAACTGCTGTTAAGGCAGTGAAAGCTGCACGGCTGGCTGCTGCCCTGGGCTCTGCTTCCAGCTCAGAATTCTGGCTGGGAGGGAAGTCATCTTGGGTGGCTGCACATTGCTGCAGGACCTGAGCCCTTGTGAAAGGCAGGAGAGCTGGAGACTGTGAAGAACAAATGAAATTGTAGGTGACCTCTGGATGTCATCCAGCTGAGCCCTCTGTTTGGAGCCGGTTGAGCTTGGAGCTTGGGTTGGGCTGCACGTGGGTTTGCCCTATTTCAAAGTTCTTCAAGAATGGGAAATGAGGTTTCTTTGGGAGCCTCTTCTGTGCCCAACTTGTCACTGTGACAAACGTTTCTCTTTGTACCTACACAGAGTTTCCCTTGTTACAATTTGTGACTATTGCCACCAGTTCCTTCAGTGTGCTGGTGAAGCTAGCAGCAGGTAAACAAACAGCCAGTAAACAAACAGCTCAGTGAATTCTGAGTACTGATAATGTGAGCAAATATTTATCGTGCAGTAAAACTGTTTGTGCTTGGTGGTTGATTCACAGATGTGTTGGCTTGGCCGCTGAGTGAGCCAGAGGCACCCAGCTTTCTGCAGAGCAAAGTGGGAGCTGAAAGGTGTGTTTGGACACAGCTTTTTTAAGGGAAGAGCAGCAAAATAATTGTCTTTGAGAGTACTGGATGTACTACAGATGTAACTTGTTAACTTAAGCAATTACTCAATTGGAGCTGTCCTTAATGGGGCTAATATCAGCCGCAGGATCTCATACAGTTGTTATCAGTATCTTTGGGTTACCTTGAAAACTAGGTAAGCATTTCAGGCTGGCTGGAGAGTTGGGTTTCTGCTCATTGCATTTTGAGCTGCAGTTCCACAAACGCGTTGAACCTGTGCTGCTACCAGAAACAACACTGCCTGACGTTATTGTCTTTGGCTGCCAGTTGTGCCTCCCAGCTGCTCTCTCTTGGATGTTGTGCGGCTATATAGTGAACAGAAGGAGCTGAGCCAGGGTGAAGGAAGGGAGCTACAGGGTTGTTTTGTTTTAGATGAATTGGTTTTGGAATAGTTGGATTTAGCTTGATGCCTGGCTGCCCATGGTGGGGACAAGCAGGTGAGGAGGAGGGGAGGAATGCTGCTTTGGAGCATTGGTGGGGCTGAGGGCTCTGACTTGGAGTGGGCAGAAAGCAGGCCTGCAGCTTTCCCTCTGCGGATTTTACTTTGCAACTCAGTCCAAAGCAAATCCTTTTCTTCCCTAAACGGGCAGAGTGAGCCACTTTGTAATGTGTTGGGTTTTTTTCCCCTCCCTAAATTAATCATTTTGCCTTCGAAAGAGCTGTAAACTATTTCTGTTAGTATCTGCAGTTGTTTTCATTCACCTGAGGAGACAGAATGCCTGAAAGATGAAGCTTTCACATATGGGGAAATAAAAACCCAACATTTTGTGAATTCCAAGACAGCATGATGACTTCTAAGATATTCCTTACTTGAGAGAACGAGCTGTCTCATGAGTTGAGTGTGCGGTGAGTAGGGATGTTTCACCTGCTTTGTTTCTTTTGTAGGTACCTGGTGAGGTGACAGCTTTGAGCTACAGCTATGGCATCCAACAAGATGTGGTGCACCGTTGCCCTTGGATTTCTGCTGCCTTTTTCTTTTGCCCATACGGACTTCTTCACCTCAATTGGTGCGACGTGCTTTGGTGTATATGCTACATAGCTGAAAGAATTTCTTAATGACTATCATACTGATTCTGCAGTGGTGTGTTAATGGAGTGCAAGGCTTTTATTGGTATACAGTTAAATCCACTTACTAGCTCTTAGGACGTGATTGGCTTTTTTCTTGCCTTTGAGAGAAATATCCTTTGAATTCAGTCAGTGCAATCAGTCTGATGAAGCTTTGTTTTGTTATGTACTCCTATGGGTATTGAATTGTAAACACAGTTTTGGTGTGTCTTGATGCATGCTTATAAAGGCAAGCAAAACACCTGTTGGAGGTACAAAATGATACCAGCATGTCAGGTGCCTTCTTTTGTGTCCCAGTGCTGTGGGTCGCAGCTGAAGATGCGCCTTGCATCATTTCATGGTGAACCTGTTCTGCTGCCTGCTTGCAGGAAGGAAAACAATTGTTGATTAATAACTAAGGTTGTTTGGGTGCTGTTGGAGTCATGCCACTGAGCTTAAAAATAAGTCTGAGGTATTATTACGTATCACAGATAAAGTCTTTATGTATTTAGCTTTGTCATTATTTGTTCTGTATTATGTATGTTTGGATGAAAGCTTACTCTGTTCCAACTTATTTCCTTTTCCAAATGAATCCTGAATTAGTTCTAATAATAAATATGTGATCTTATGTTAATTTCCATGGCAACGAGCTTTGTCCAGCATGAGATTTTCTTCCTCAAAAAAAGAAAAGGCAAAAAGCTTTGCTTTAAGTACTCCTTCCAGTTTAGCTAGCAGGATGTGGGAGCATTTTGGGGAAGGAAAAGGAAGAATACAGAAGAGAAAAAGACTCTTCTGTTTTCAGTTTCTTG